GTAGTACGAGTGCGCCGTCAGAACATCCACCCCGCAGCGCGCAGATTGCCCTGAGTTCCCACGGGGCACGGAGGGTCACTTAGCAGAGCCCCAGGAGCACAGATCAGCCTTAGTGAGACTGTGGGTGACGCCTCTGCTCCTCGGGTAACGGCAGTTCAACAGAATTCTACAAAGACGTTGGCTGCCTTGCCCTTTGCAATCAAAATACTATTTGAAGACGAGCCAGAAGAAAATAGATCAGTCATTCTAAACCATTTTTGGTAACATTTATAATAGCATATTAAATCAAGTACAGCCGTTAAACAYAGCAGAATAACTGCTACGCGGTATTTGGCAGCAACAGTAACGGGAGAAGCCTTGAAGAAGCTGTATTGGATTTGTGGCCCCGGTGTGTCCTATAATCCTCTGTTTACCCTGTGGTTTGAGCAGGGCTCAATACCACTGTAACTGTTGCTGCTCCGCATTTCCAGGTGCCTCCCTGACGGCAGGCGACTTCCCACGGCTGGAGGGGGGTGGCCCCATCAGACCTGTGCCCGTGAAACGCAAACCACAAACCCTCTCCGAGCCAAAGCCTGTAAATAGGCTACAGCACAATAGAGTRCACGAGCCCTCACGGAGGTGTTCTATTTTCTGTGGGCATTATTCTTCCTGTGCATTCTGCACTCTGTCACGTAAAAGATCTCCATTTTAAATAAGCCCATAATTGCATRCTTACCTGCACTGCTGGCTTCTCAGCACACACACAAAAGCAGACGAACTAAACCGGTTCTCCAGAGACCAGACCACACTCCATTCCTCTAAACCCACATTGAGTGGAGGATTGCCACCCAGATTACTTCCAAACAAGACAGCTCAGTTGGGAAGAGGGGKATGTTTTTTGAATATTGTTGTAGTTTTACTACAAAGAAACCTACAAATCCTAGTTTACTAACATGGAAGAATCATGATTATCAGAATTTTACTAGAAAAGCAGTCAACTTTCATAGYTTTTAAGAGCACCACATGAAATGTTATGGAGTACTGATGGCAGTAGCTGAAGCAAGACTTTGGAGTGCAGTTAATTTTCCATTTAATGTTTAATGCAAACAGGATTCTTCAAATTTTCAAACTTCATATGTTGTCTAATGGCTTTCAAATTAATAGGATACAAGAAAATGAAGGTCYGTAACAAAGGAGATGGCTGTTGTGACACTGTGATTTCCCCCGTTTTCATCTTCATGGCCTCCATGCCCCGGCTCTGCCCTGCAGGGCCRAGGTGCCCTCAGTAGATGGGCAGAACAAACTTACCAACTGGCTTTACCATGATAGAAAACATTTTCCTGTGTTTGTCAAGACATTGGCAGCACCACTGTCCTACAACCAGCTGTTCAAAGTAGGYGAAGACGTGCAAAGCTGAACCCGGGCGAGCCCTGCCTTTGCAGCCACACTGAGCTCAGATGAGGTTAATGTGAGTGGAGGGAAACATCCCTGCCCATTCAGTCCCCCAGTTTGGGTCCTGCATGGCCTGTCCAGTGCTACCAGYGAGCTCATCCCTCAGGGCTCGCATGTCAGCAAAGATCATTGGATTATTTCATCAAGTGTTTTCAAAAAACAGAGTCTGTTAAGGTCTCATTTGAAATGAGCTGTCAGTRCATGGTAGCAGCCCTTGGAAGGCCTGCTAAGGGAATCGGCTGAAATTATGGAGAGACATGCAGTACATTGAGTGTGCAATGCTTTCTGCATCTATCTGGGGGAATTAAAGTTGTTTACATGATAGGAGCTTCAAGCAGTAGCAAGAACATGGACTTCCAACAATAGCTCCATTGTCAGAAACAATAAATGTGACCTTTGGCCTGCACGATGAACAACAAGTGCTGTCCTCCTTGTCACCCCGTGGATTTCAGCTGCTGGCACTGTAACACAGCTTTTCTCTCTGGAGACAGGACTGCTGCTGTCCCGTCCCTACTACTCCTACACACTTCCTATCTTAACTATGGACAACACACTTAATTCTCTTTTCCCCTTTTTTTTTTTTTGTTTAAATTGGAGCAGTACATTCTTACCTGCTGTACAAGCTGAATGTTTTAGGACACTCATAGAATCACTGGTGAAGGTGATGGCAAAAGCATGTTTAATATAAAAGTGAAAGCATGACAAAATTAATTGGCAAGGTTCACTCTACTACTTACCAGATGTTTAAAATACACAGAGAGAAATTGTACTGAAGCCTAAAATCAATCTAAAACTAAAATCAACCAGAAATTATATATGTGA